TTTTCACCATTTTAAAAACGCCATGTATATTTTTACACTTAAAAAGAGTTTATGATAGTAGATGCTCATGGCGAATTACTTTATGGACAGATTTGCATCTTAGTCCTTTCATAAAAGATAAATGTGGATGAAATTTGTAATTAAGGTAGGTATAAAAAATTTATAATTAATATTAAATTTATTTAAATCTTATATTGAAATTAAATTATCTTTTTCCTAAAGACTTGGAAGCATTCCCTTGTATAGCTGGGGCTTACTTTAAAAAATTATGGCCACTAAAAACCACTTGAAAGAGGAAAAGGCACAGTAGCTAGTAACTCCTAAAGGGGAAGAAACCGCTGTGACTGATTGGGTAGCTCATGGTACTTTAAATTTTGATTAGACTTTTTGTTTGGATTGCCTTCAATAATAGACTTTGTTTGAATGCATGGAGAAGCAGATGGTCTCAAACTCGTGTGTTCCTAGGCTGACTCTGATATGAAATGTGTATCCCACTTTCTGAGACTGCGACTAGGCTAAGCAGCTTTGGTTATATCTTGTGAATCCAGCTTTACTGTTCCCATTTCTTTGCCGCCAACCTTGAAGATCAGATTGCTGTGAATCTCAAAAACAGAATTAGGGAATAATCTAGGTCGTCCTGAATGAAATCTCATATGACATGTTGCTGTCTGGTGTTTATGGAAATGGAGAAATAATTCCACATTTGATGCTATTTCCTGTCTTCATATAAGCGATAAATAACTAATTTATGAATATTAAGAAAATTAGTCAGGTTGGTTATTTGTAATAAATAGATATTGTCTTTCCTAGAATACCTTTCTTAATCATGTGTATTGTAATCACTTTTTTATGAAACATTTAACACGGACAATTATTAGAAGGGACTATTTTGAAGGAAAAAAAAAGATGAGTAGATTAGGGTTTATATTTAGGATCAAATTAAATGTCTAACTAACTCTTATATTAAGGACCGGATATAATATTCATTTTCACAAATAAGAAGACCTAGCTACTGTTGTACTTAACAACTAAAGAAATCTTCTTCAATCCCATGATTTGACTTGCACTCCTCAAAGGATTTCTTTTTGGACTTCTCTATTGTGGCTTCCTCCCCAACTAGGTTGGTTCAAATTAAATGTTGATGGTGCTGTACCTTTCGAATTAAATTAAATTTCAAAAAGGTGGAGATTCACGTACTTTTCGAATTATATGTTCTCCATCTCCTATATAAATAAATTGCTCCCCACCTTTTAATTCTTTGTAAAAATTTAAGGGCATTCTCGCGATTCTCTTTAGCAGCGGGATATAGTAGCAATCCAAGAAATCATGTTAGGAGCTGATTTTCCCAACTCCTGATCCCCAGAACAAGCCATCCCTTTAAGACTTGTTGCATATAAAAATTTATATGTAAACCCCACCTTTTTATTGGCTTTTCACTTTTGGCCTCTTATATGTCAACTTCTAAATTCATCCCTGTCCACTCACACACATTGGGAGACAGCTATTTTTGACATTTGTTGGACAAAACAAGAAACAGGGCAAAAGATACTCATAATTCTCTTCATAAAATAACAAGCTGTATTATTTAGAGCATTTATTATAAGTTTCTTTCTTTTTTTAATTTAAATCTTCATTAAAAAGATATATTTATAAAACCCAATAATAAATATTAGATGAGGACATATGGGGGAGAATTTTAAATTATAAATTAACTGAATTATTAAACCCAACTATTTTAACTAGATTTTTCGATCTTGCTAATTAATTATTTATAAAAAAGGACCAAAAAAGTAGATGATTTATTTATAATCTCTTTAATTGTTATCACTTATCATAATATTTTCAATGCTTCCCTTTTATTTTAGGGAAAAAATTAATTTGTTAGTCCTTATAACTTTATCTAATTTTTAATTTTTTCTTAGTTTCTTACAATTTTCTCAATTATAAACATGAGTTTCTATGCTCATAATTTGTTAATTATGATAAGTGATGGTCACAACATCAGTTACTAACTCTATTTCATTCACAAATTAATAGATTATGAGTATAGAGACAGATATTCATAATTGAGAAAATTATAAAAACCCAATAAAAAAAATACATGTGCTTAGATAAAGATGAGGTAAAATTGCTCTGACTTATACTAAAAAAATGAGATAAAATTATAGAGACCTATATATATATAATATTAATTTCCCCCTTATTTTATTTTCAGTCTAAAACTTAATAATTAAGCATGCATAGGGGAAAAACTTAACACTTAAGCCACTAGGTAATGATTTGGATAATTCAGCTTCTAATCTCAAGTTCAACATTTCGTTTTTTGATTATCATTTAAGCACATGATTCAATTAAGGTCAGAAAAATGTTAAGTTTGTTGTTTTTATTTTATTTTTTTCCTGAATGACTTGAGAAAGATCAAATTGAACAGCTAAAAGGGTAACATTTTGAACTATTTTATAAATTGACAAAACTAAATTAAAATAAATTTTATATATAAAAAACAAATTAAAGTACACCTGTCTACTACCTGAGACTAAATTAATTTGGAAGAAACAAAACCAAACACTCCTAAATAATTCCCTCCCGAAGCCATGTTCACACTAGAGGATACAATCGCATGCACCCGGGTCCTACTCAAGACCATGTTCCTCAGTAACCTCACACCCTAATCAGCCTTCATTGAAACCAATTTGAATCCCACATTCCCTGTAATTTGTCTTGATTTTAATTTGTGAATATTTGATTAATCTAAATTGTAATAGCTATTCGTTTCATTTTATTTATATTATAATTATAAAAATATATAGGACTTAAGGGGTCAAATGGGTTTCATGTCTGAAAAAAGAACTGTAAAAATAAAAACCAAATTTGATTCCAATACTTATTATTTTAGACAGAATTTACACTAATTTTAGGTTAAAATATGATCATTCTTTTAAATTGAAAATCATAAAATTATTTTTATTTTATATTTTATTCTTTCTATTTAAAATCTAACATGTAAATAAAATAAGAACCAAAACCTTCCAATTTTATCAATTTTTTTCTTGTATATGGTATTATAAACTAATTTTATTGAGAATCCAGAGGCTCAAATAGAAGCATATAAAGTAATTCTTCCAATGTAATTTTTTCTATCATGCGATGTTTTAGAAATATATTAAAAAAGAAAGGTTCATAAACTTAATATCTAAAATATATAAATTAATACATATATTATCAAATACTTATGGGAATTTTTTTCAGATTGTAGATGTAGATCTCTTCAGCAATTAATTCGTGCCCCACAAAATTCTATAGATGATTTACTTATAATGTCTTTATCATCATAATATTTTCAATGTCACTCTTTTATTTTAGTTTTTTTTCTAAAACAGTAAAGCTTAACAATTAAGTATGCATAACAAAAAATCACTTAAGTCATTACGAGATGATCTAATGGTGATGATTTGAATTAATTAAGCTTGTTCCCTCAGTGTCATTATCATTAAAACTCGTGCTCCAATTAAGGTCAACAATATGTTTAATGTATATTATTTGTTGTTTTTATTTTTTTCAATTGTAGAAAGAAGGATCAGATTGAACAGGTCAAGGGTAGCATTTGAACCATTTTACTATAATTCACAAAACAAAATTAATATAAAATTTATCCTCCCTCCATTTTAAAATATAGGAGTTAGTTGAGATGTTGGTTTTAATTCTCAAATAAAAAACTTCATTACACTGTATCTCCCAAACAATATTGTTAATTGTATGTATTAAAAGAACTGATGATGCCTTTTAAGGTCAATATAATATTTAGTACTTCAAGTTTGTACGAATTTTGATTTTAATTATCAAGTTTCAAATTATATGTTTTGATCACTCTACTCTTTAGGTATAAAATCGTCCAAGTATTTATTAAATTATAGGATTATTGTTTTAAATAAAAACATACTTAAGGGATCAAAACCTATAGTATTAAACTTGAGAAACTAAAACTAAAATGAAGACAAATTTGATGGACCAAAAATTATATTAATCTCACTTTTTAATACAAAGAAAATAGCTGAATACATATTTATTATAAATAATTAATTTTTAATTGGTAAATTAGTGATATAACTTTTATATTCAGTATTGGAGTAAGAATACCAAAAATAAATTCAAACCATAACTTTTCTACCACCTCAGTTTAAATTAATTTGGAAGAAGCAAATCCAAACACTCCGAACAGTTCCTCCCCAAAGCCATGTTCACATTAGAGGGTATAATCGCATGCACCGAAGTCTACCTTAAGACGACGTTCCTTTAAAACATCACAGATCACACTATAATGAAACCTTCATTGAATCCAATTTGAATCCTGCAATCCCCTCAATTTGTCTTAATTTTAATTTGTCAATATTTGATTAACCTAAAATGTTCATGTTATTTTATTTATTTATTTTAAATTTGAGAGGTAACATCCGTTTTTTTCATTGTATTTATATTAAAAATTTATAAAATTGATCAAGTTAAGATTTTAGATGGATATAATTGTAAAAATATACAAAAAAAAATATAACTTCAACCTGAATGAAACTTGAATCTCATACTCATCATTACCAAACATTTACACCATTTTCAAGTTAAAATATGGTCACTTTTTTAAATTGAAAATTATAAAAAATTATGACTATTTTTTGTTTCGCCCTCATTAAAATAATTAAATTAAAATAATAAATAAAATGAGATTCAAAACCTTTCAATTTTGATATGGACGGTTGAGATTATCTCGGTTTTCGGTCCATCCCACTCGCATCTGGCGGCTCTAATACTCAGTGACGTCACAGGAGTATTCACTTCCGAAACCACTGAATCCTCACTCACTCTCACTCGCGGGCGCTTCCGGGAAACTTCATGGCCTCTCGTAGACTAAGCAATGCCCAGTTGCTTCTTTGACCGCAACACTATCCCTAAGTCCAATATCCTTTATTGCTCTCATTTTGATAGCGTCGCGGAAATTCATTTCGACCTCTTTCTTCCGCACTCTCTCTGTTTTCTCCTCTGGGATTTTTCTCTCGGATCATGTAGTTTTTGATTTGCTGCTTGTTGATTCGAATTTTGGATCACAGGAGTGGTTTTTGTTCGTGGGAAACCTTGAATTTCGTTTTTTAATTCCTGGGATTGAGTCGAAAATGACGGTGGCGTCGGATTCTTCTCCAGAGTCTTTCAGCCAGATGATGGCTTCCATGCCGGGGTTTCGATTCCATCCTACCGATGAGGAACTAGTTATGTACTATCTGAAGAGGAAGATGTGTAGGAGGAGGCTGAAGCTGGATGTAATTCGTGAAACTGATGTCTACAAATGGGATCCTGAGGAATTGCCAGGTATTTGCTCTACTCTCCGAATCATCTTTGTTTACCTAGGCGTTGACTTTCTTGGTGGGGGTTTGCGGGCCTAGGGTTTGGATTTTATATTTTGTTTGATTGGTTTGATGTTGAATAGCGTATGAATTTAGAACTTAGATCTACTTGTTCGTGAATTTAATTGTGAAATGTGTTCACTTGTGGTTGGAATTGGTTAGAATAGGAAGCAATTTAAGCTAAGGTTAGTGTTTATTTGCGGTGTGATTCTTTGGATGCGTAATCGGTTGGCGTTTGGATGAGTTTTTATTCCTTTGATTTCACTTTGATACCAGAGTGATAATTTCTTGCCGAATTTGATGAACAAGGCATTGTCTGGGTGTGTTCAGACCTCTTGGCCAATATGTGTCCAAATCATATACCAAGAAGTCTTTTTAATTTCCCCCCAAATATCTCGTGATAGATACCTGCGTGAATGTAAGTTTATTAATGGATTTCTGATTTGTGTTTTGACGTTGGCAATCATAGTTTTGTTTAGGATTGATAGTGTGCGAGATAACCATTTATGGAAGCCGTGGCTTGCTAAAGAAGTTGTGAATACCTTGGCGCTTGAGAATTTTAGATAGATGACCGTATCTTACTAGGCATTCTGTCCTTATTTATGCCCAACATTAGCTTTTCCTCTTTCCGTATCATGAGATTGAATGTTAATTTTTAACTTCGAAGGTTTTCTTTGTCCTTTACCATGATTAGTTAGGTTATTTTGTTTGTCAACCTCCTTGATTGCCTATCTGCTTATAATTTGAACGTTTTGCAGGGCAGTCAGTGCTGAAAACTGGAGAGAGGCAATGGTTCTTTTTCAGCCCTAGAGACAGAAAGTATCCTAATAGTGGTAGGACTAACCGAGGAACAAGACATGGGTACTGGAAAGCAACAGGGAAGGATCGTAACATTACCTACAATTCTCGGGCAGTTGGGGTGAAAAAGACTTTGGTTTTCTATAGAGGTAGAGCACCACATGGTGAGCGAACTGATTGGGTTATGCATGAGTACACATTGGAGGAAGAAGAACTTGCAAGATGCCAGAATTGTAAGGTATCATCTTCAAGTGTTTTTTTGCTTTATCTTTCTTATTATTTCATTATGAACTCATACTGATGGTGAAAACGTATTGTTTACTAAATTTTGTGTTTAAATGTGTAAATTATCAGGACTAAGTGTTTAAATGTGTAAATTATCAGGACTATTATGCACTTTACAAGGTGTTCAAGAAAAGCGGACCTGGTCCTAAAAATGGTGAACAGTATGGTGCACCATTTGTAGAAGAAGAATGGGTAGATGATGACTTCGTAGATTTTAATGTTAACTCAGCCGGCAAGGAGGTTCCAATTTCACAAGTTGATAAGGGTACTACTGTTGATACTGTGACTGGTAATGGTCAAGTGCAGCCTTTGTTTGATGATGAACTGGATGAGATCTTGAAGAAAATGATGGATGAGCAGGTCCCCGATCTGCCCTCGCTGTGTCCTGCCTTACCTCAGGTTTGTCTTCTGATGGAACCTTTAGAACTCTGGTTTTGTTTATGTATTAGCTGCCTATCCTTCTCTTTTGACAGAATTGGAGAGGAGTAGGTGGTGGAAAAGATATTATAGCAGTACCTCGGTATAAACACTGTAAATTGAATGGTTAATATCTGAGTCCATCATTATCTCAACATTCATTCGCTGTACTGTTTTACTTTGGGCTTCTTTCTCTCTTTGTGGTTGTGGTTTGTAGAAAAGAGGGAACTAAGATGTGGCCTTCATGAGTGCTGGCATTATAGATGTGATCAGTGTGGAATGTTATTCATCAATTTTATTTTCATGTCTGTGGTCTTGGCATGACTTATGTAGGCTAACGCTCTTTTGAGAGCAAGATTTTGCAAACTATCATGGGTTTTTCAATGGTTTCATATTTGTCCTGCTTAGTAAAAATATGTTGAAGGCCATAACATTGTATAGACTCTGGGCAGGAAGAAAAGGGTATTGTCTGAGATTGGCAGAATATCCGATTCTGGTTTTGGTCGTCCGTTTTACATGGCCAAGTCATTTTTTTCTCTGAACGGTTTATCATTACTTGACTGCCGCATTTAAGTTTTTGGCATGACTGTTTAGTAACTTGTGGTTCTTGTGATTATTGTATTACTTGACTGCTGTGTGTAAATTTTTGGCATGACTGTTTAGTAACTTGTGGTTCTTATGATTTAATCATTGTACGTAGCTACATGATATTTTCTGCCATTACTTTTCATTAACTCTGTTTTTAATAATCATCCATTATAGGTCGCTGCTGAAGAAACGCAGAGTGTGGTGGTGGATCAAATTTCTAATGAGGCAGCATTTGCTGAGCCAATCCATCTGTTTCATTCAAGCGGTCACTACTATGACCCTACCCAATCAACTACATCTCATTTGCATGTTTCTGAAGCACCTGAAGTCACTTCTGCTGCCAGCGTTCAAGTAGAGGAGCCTCTCTTTCATGAGGATGACTTCTTGGAAATGAATGATCTCATTGATCCTGAACCAGTATTGCCAAAAATAGAAAATCCTGTGGAGAACTTGGAGTTTGAAGATGGATTAAGTGCACTTGACTTGTACCATGATGCAGAGATGTTTCTTCGCGACATGGGGCATATTGACCAGGAAACTATTTCACATCCTTATATGAATACTTTTGAGAGTAATGTTGTGAATCAGCATTATCAGTCTCTGCCCCTAGGAGACAATGCGGATCAAAGTGGTGAACTCTGGATGCGTCATGAAAGGCCTATGATGAGTCCAGCAGAACATGCAAATGATGTTTCTTTCGCTTCATCAACCTCAGGTACATTCATTGGCATGACACACTGTGTTGGTGGTTTTGCTCAACTTCCAAATAATGATTGTACCATCTTTGTTCTCAATGGAGATGCAAGCTTCGCATCTCATTTATGCTGAACTCTTCGAAGTTGACTTCCATTGGTTGATAGCCTGCTAATGCATGGAAGAAATCTTCCCTGATTATTAGTGTTGTGGCATCTTCGAGAGCTTTCTATGCTAATATTAATGTGACTTGAGCTTGTTTCAAGTGGCTCTTGTGAAAAAAAAAAAAAAAATACAAAAAATGAAAGAACACAGACAATTTCTAATATCTGCTAGTTTCTGGTCATATGTATAGGTGTGGGTTATGAATCTGCCAGCTTGCCTGCTGAAGGTAATCATAATCAAAGTAGCAGTGTGAGACAAGCTCCTACAAGTAGATTGTCTTCTGCTCTCTGGGCCTTCCTTGAGTCAATACCTACCACTCCTGCATCAGCGGCTGAAAATGCAAATCGGGCTCTTGAGCGGGTGTCTAGCTTTAGTAGGGTGAGAGATAATATGAAGCAGGCAAGCACAGCTACCGCCGCAGCTGCTAATGAAACTGCGATTGTGAAGAGAGCAGGTAAAGGAAGGGGAATCTTCTGGTTCTTGCCGGTTCTTATTGCTTTATGTGCTTTTTTATGGGCTTCTATGGGGACATTGAGGCTACCTGGGAGATCCATCCCTTGACATCTGAATCCCTAGTTTTGCTGCTACGTGTCATATGGGATTCCCCTGATTCAATGAACAAACATATATTGTTCTAACATATTTTAATAATTAAAAAAAAAAGAATTTACCTTCTGTTTCTTTCTTTGTTTTTTTTTTTTTTGTTGTGAATATTGAACTGGAGAAGGAGGTTCTTTATAGTCTGAATGAGTGTTAAGATGAAAGAAGGGCATCTAAGGAGATGAATACTGGGTGACTGCAGCATCACACAAATATTACTTATTTGTCTCAATTATTAAGCTTATTTAGGGTTAGCTTGAAAGAACTGAGTCCCTTTATTTGTTCATTTATTTTATTATATATTTATTTCTTTGTTTATTAGTATAACACGCCCATGCTAATCCAATGCGGTTTGGGAGCTCTCATTTTGGACAATGGATCATATAAATATTCACCTTCCTATGAATCCTCCGTGTGTGTGTCTATATATATATATATATATATGGTGTTATTTCTCTCTACTGGAATTTTTAATTTTAATAACGTGTTTAAGTTGTTGGTGGGATGGTATCATTGTTGCTACTATTTATTTTATGCGGATAAGTTGCAAGTAATCAATGGATATTTGTTTGGAAAAGGAAAAAAAAGTAGAGTTATCATAATATTCTATTAGGGTTTTTATCCATAAATATATAGTATTTATGAATAGGGAGAATCCCATTTAAATTCAATTGGAATACTCCTCCGGTCTTTAATATATGATTTAATTGTTAAGTTGATTTTAATTCTAAATATAAGACTTATTTCTTATATTTATCTATTTTTTCTAAATTATTTTTATGGATGCTTTTTCAACTAGAATCAAGTAAAAAAAGGATGGAGGATGTTTAGAAAAATGATTATAGTGTTTTAGGAAAAACATGTCATATTTTTTATTAGTAACTAACTTATCTAACTTGCTTAATCTAATCAAATTAGTTAAATAGATTTTAGATTAAGGACTAGAGGAATATTAAAATTCAAAATTAGGCATGCTTTGAACAAATTCCTAATTATGCTAAGAGGTCTAATTAGAGATTTATAAATGTTGTTAAAAGTCTAGATGATCATTCTATGATTATAATGAGTTGTTATCTTTATATATTTCTTTTTCACAAATTCTTTTCCCGAAATTTTTTTTGGCTGAATTTTTCTAAAATTTGAAAATAGTAAATCTTTAGCATATGACAGAAAATTCAGTACAATTCTTGATTTACATTAATAATTACTCCAACACTATAATCAATGTAATAGTGTAGGTTACTAATAGATTTTAATCTTAACAGGTTTAATTTCTGCTCAGTTTTAATATTGATCCATCCTCATGAACTTAATAATATATATGCACATTCAATTTTTTTTATTAAATACATACATTTTTTTAATAGAACATTCAAATATTTTAAGACTTAGATTGAGAATAATGTTATAATTTATCATTTCCATATTGTAGGAAAAAAAATCTGTGAGGGAGAAAAATATAGAGTATCAGCTCATATTTTAATTATAGAGGAACATTTTAGTCTTTTAACAATATTCATAAATCTCTAATTAGGTCAAGAGGCTCTTGGCCTAATTTGAGATTTATTCAAATTGAAGACTTGATTTTAAATTTTAGTATTTCAACGGGACTTTGATGGGTATATCTCTTATAAAAATGCATCATATAATCAAATATTTAATATTTTTACACAATTGGAAAAAGAAGAAGTCATTTTAATATTTTACACAAGGGATTGGGCTGAATTGTGTGACTATTTTGATATATATAAAAATGGAAAATATGCCATTTTATATTGTGATGGGGTTTTTTTTTCCTTCCTTGGTTTTGTTTTTTTTTTAATTTTTGGTGTTGAAAGGAATTATTTTTAATGCATCGGGAAGATTTGAATCATTACCCTCTATGTTGGTGGCTTGAATGAAATGTTTTTGATAATTACTAAGGCCTTTGAGAGGTTTTGTATTTCGTTTGTTTATTTATTAAGACTTCTTGTACTAAATATAAAATCTAATTTATAATGTAATTTGTATTACAAACTAATTTTATACTACTTCCTGTTCTAATTATAAGACTTTGTTTATAGGTTACAAATGATATCTTATAATTAAGCCCAGAGGTAATATTTAGGATAGGAGGTATTAGTGCACATCCACTTTGGTCTGGAATTAACCATTTTGTAGAATGCATTATAGAAATAATCACATTAATGAAGCCTGGGCAAATAAAATAGATATATCCAAATGTATCAACAAGTATAGGAATATATTATAGAAAATCGTTTCTCTTGACTATAAATTTTTTAAAAATATTGAAAAGAAATCATAAATCTCTTTGTCAAAATAAATATTTTGATGTCTTAAGGAAAATGAGATCTAAAATTACAAAAAGGAGGAAGAGAAAAGAGAAGAACCCAAAACAATAACCAAAACACTTATACATGTTCTTCTTGGCTAAGAAGGGTAAGGCAGACACGTTGATAAAAAAACTGTAATTGTCTGGATATTATTTCATAAAACTAATAGTTAAAATATTATTTTTCATATTTTATGACATAGACACGTTGATCAAAAAACTTGCACATAACCATAATAACGATTAGAAAATGGAAAGTGAGTATAATAAATATTAAGAGAGAACATCAACGGATCATGGATATGTTGTTTTGCTAAAAAAAAAAAAAAAGCTGATAAAAATAGAAAATAAATCAAACCCAGAATCTCAACGATTTAGGTCATATGATATAGTAATATACTATCTACGATCTTTAATATAAAAATTAGTTAAATATTAAATTTGGTCCCAAATATAAGATATCGATTTACTTTGTCTCTAATATTTATCTATTTTGTCCCAAATAATCTCTATGGTGGTTGCACATTTTAAGGAGTTTTCATAAAAGAGTAATTTTAATGCTCATGATTAATAAGGCTAGTTTAGGAAAGACAACATCTATTTAGCACAATTAACTAACTTAACTAATTTTCTTAATATAAGTTGGGATTTAATTTATCTTAGAAACATCCATGGTTTACTGTTTAAATTTTAAAACAACTCTCAGCATGTACAGTATTTTTGGTTTTGTTTTGTTTTGTTTTGTTTTGCATTTTTAATTAACCGTTAGTTCTTAACTATGCACAATCAAACAAAAGCAATATGTACTAGCTAGGTAATTTTTTGAGCTTCGATGAATCAATATATAGGCCGGATGTATTTGAAGACGCGCGCTGTATATAAATACAACCCTTTATTAATATTATTGTCATTGTTGTTACACACATGATGAAACATTACATAATACTAATAACAAGGGAGATAACAACGATACACGCGGCTACAAAGATCAACCATGGACATGGGTTGTTAGCAGCCTCTTCAGCTTTGCTATTTTTATTGAAGTGTACACATATATCTCATTTGCTACATCTTCCACTCTTCGAAAACAAGCATATGTCCAACTCTTCTTTAGCACTAAAGTCCCAATAGCACCCCAAAAGCCAACAGCAAACCCAATTGCTACAACAAAATAAAACCACACTTTTTCTGGATCATGTTCATCTTCATGTTCTCTAGTTTCAAGAACTTGATGAGGATCATCATCTTGACACTTGTTTGGTAGTGGGATTCCGCAAAGATGAGGGTTGCCAACATAAATGGATGGATCATTCAAAGTCAAGAATTGATTTTCAGTCGGAATTGGCCCTGAAAGGTTATTGTGTGACATGTTCGAATAGCTCAATGTAGTTACCTTGGGCATGCTCTTTGGAATTGTGCCAGAAATTTGGTTGCAAGAGATATCAAAGGATTCAAGGGATTTCATATCCCCAAAAATCTCTGGAATCTCTCCTTTCAAATGATTGTGTGAAAGGTTCAAGCTTATTAATTTGATGAGGGAGAATAACCCACGAGGAATTGATCCAACCAAATTGTTATTGGACAAATCAAAGTTGATCTCTAGCTGCAAGATTCTAGTAATGTCAAACTCTCTTCCTTTTATAACTTGTTTCACATCTTGATTAGGCCATTGATCTTCCGTGTAAGCACCCCATTCGGTTGAATTCCACATACGTGTACTATTTATTGTCATTCCTGTAAGATTGCCAATGCAATGGGGTATTGAGCCATTTAAGTTGTTATTTGCAAGGTCCAAAATCTGCAATGATTGGAGTTGGCATAGATGTAAAGGAATGTTACCATCCAACATATTATCCCGCAACCTCAGAATTTTCAGTGTAGGAAAAGTGTTGCTAGTCCATGGAGGTACACTTCCAGAAATGTTATTCTCACCCAAATTTAAAATTCTCAATTCCGTCAGATTTTCCAAATTCAATGGAAGCTTCCCTTCAAGATAGTTATTGTTCAAATGCAACCAGAACAATGAAGAAAGCTTGCCAATTGAGATGGGGAAGCCACCAGATAATTTGTTGAATGAAAAATTTATTTCCATTAATCCACCTGTATCCCTCCAACAGTTTGGAATGTCACTAGATAAATTGTTATGAGAAAGATCAATGCTTTTTAGATTTACAAGGTGACAAAATCTTTGAGGGATATTGCCAGTAAAAGAGTTGTTTGAGAGATCAAGAAATTCTAGATTTACAAGTTGACCAAAATTTTGAGGAATGTTTCCCGTGAGAGAATTACTTGAAAGATCAAGGCCATATAGATTTGTAAGTTGACCAAGACTTTGAGGAATGTTGCCCATAAGAGAATTACTTGAGAAATGAAGGTAACTTAGATTTGAAAGTTGACCAAGACTTTGAGGGATACTACCTTTGAGAGAATTATTTGAAAGATCAAGGTTGTGTAGATTTGAAAGTTGACCAAGACTTTGAGGAATGTTGCCCATAAGAGAATTACTTGAAAGATTAAGGTCATATAGATTTGAAAGTTGACCAAGACTTTGAGGGATATTACCATTGAGAGAATTATTTGAAAGATCAAGGTTGTATAAATTTGAAAGTTGACCAAGACTTTGAGGAATGTTTCCCGTGAGAGAATTACTTGAAAGATTAAGGTCATATAGATTTGAAAGTTGACCAAGACTTTGAGGAATGTTGCCCACAAGAGAATTACTTGAAAGATCAAGGTGATATAGATTTGAAAGTTGACTAAGACTTTGAGGAATGAGGCCACTAAAAAAATTATTCGATAGATCAAGCCCTCCTAGATTTACAAGTTGGCCAAGACTTTGAGAAATGAAGCCACTTAATAAATTACTTGATAGATCAAGGCTTCTTAGATTTACTAGCTGACCAAAACTGTGAGGAATATTGCCACAAAAATAATTATATGAAAGATCAAGGTATATTAGCTTTTCAAGATGCCCTATCCAAGTTG